GGGGGGGGGGGGTTGACCGGCACGGCAAACAGAGAGAGTGGGAGAGAGACAGGCGGGTCATGTTGTGCCCACAGGAGTGTTCCGCCCCCTCTCTAAAAAGCTTGCGACGCCTTGAGTTCCGCCGGGGTGTACAAAAACGCGCCCCCCCCACCGAGAAAGCCGGGCCGCCATCCATGACCATGAGTGTCAAAAACAAGTCCCGCGACGATCACACGAGCAAAACAGCACTTTTGCACGCCGCAAAGGTCAACGGCCACCCACACGACTTACTGCACACGTTTTCTCCTCGCACGCACGCGTCTCCGCCGCCACCACACACCCCGGTCCAACCACGCTATGCTACGCTTGTTTCGTTTCGGAAGCGATATCAATAAATGTGCGGGTTGAACAATGCCGGTTGCCCTGCATAATGCCGGTGGAATCGAGTGACGCGGGTGGAATATTCAAGTTGTTTCATATGTACTCTGAACAATGCCGGTGGCGCGCTATAAAGCCGGCAGTAGTCTACGCACCAAAATTGATTAAGCAAACATATGGGATAAAGTACTCAATCCGTGCTTCGGGGTTAGGATTAGGGCTAGGGCTAGGGTCTGCGTGCCCCCTCCCTATTATTTTTGTAGATACTCTCATAACCCTGCGTAGGCGGACCAAAGCCGGTTGCCGCTATTCAAGGGGCTGGTACCCTACCGGTAACATAGCTGGACCACGACCTCCGCCCTGTTGTACTGCCGCCCACCCTCGCATAAAAGCAACATCCCTTGGCGCACACCTTGAGGTCCTGCGGGATGTCGACACGCTGCACAGACCCCTGGTCGGCGATGATCTGGTTGCGTACGCTAGCCGTCCAGAGGCCCCTTGTGGTGAGGTCCCTCAGGAGATGCTTGTTCACCACCGCGAACTCTCCCGCGAGGACCCTCCGGTTATACATGTTGCTAGGGGGTTTGGGTTGTTCGAGGGGCGCGCGGGGGGGGGGGTGAGTACATGGCATTGAGATGCGCTTGCGAAGAAATGCACATCTATCCGAGGTTTGGTGGTGCCACACAAGGGTGCAGCGCAGAGTCTTCGCGGCACGCACACAAAAACTCCCCAAAACTCCCCACACGAAAACCGTCCAAAACAAACAGAAGAAGTCGGCAGGAGGACCAGGAGACAAACAACAAGAAAGCGCGGCTGTATCATGTTTCGATGTTCGATGTCTACAGCAGTACCTGGTGAACGGCTCGACGCTCTCGTTGTTGCCCAGGATTTGCGCCGTGGACGCGGTGGGCATGGGGGCTAGCAGGAGCGAGTTGCGCAGGCCGTGCTGAGCCATCTTCGCCTGGATGGT